CTGATAGGACAGGGTGTAGCATCGCCCCTGAGGATCCTAGGTTCCTCCTCCCTGGGTGCTCATCCCACTGATCATCTGATCTGATCGACAGGGTGTAGCATCGTCCCCAGGATCCCTAGGTTCCCCTCGCCCTGGTGCTCATCCCACTGATCATCTGATCGACAGGGTGTAGCATCGTCCCCAGGATCCCTAGGTTCCCCTCGTCCTGGTGCTCATCCCACTGATCATCTGATCGACAGGGTGTAGCATCGTCCCCAGGATCCCTAGGTTCCTCCTCGTCCTGGTGCTCATCCCACTGATCATCTGATCGACAGGGTGTAGCATCGTCCCCAGGATCCCTAGGTTCCCCCTCGTCCTGGTGCTCATCCCACTGATCATCTGATCGACAGGGTGTAGCATCGTCCCTAGGATCCCTAGGTTCCCCCTCGTCCTGGTGCTCATCCCACTGATCATCTGATCGACAGGGTGTAGCATCGTCCCCAGGATCCCTAGGGGTTCCCCCTCGTCCTGGTGCTCATCCCACTGATCATCTGATCGACAGGGTGTAGCATCGTCCCCAGGATCGCTCCCTAGGTTCCCCTCAGGTCCTGGTGCTCATCCCACTGATCATCTGATCGACAGGGTGTAGCATCGTCCCCAGGATCCCTAGGTTCCCCTCGTCCTGGTGCTCATCCCACTGATCATCTGATCGACAGGGTGTAGCATCGTCCCCAGGATCCCTAGGTTCCCCTCGTCCTGGTGCTCATCCCACTGATCATCTAGGATCGACAGGGTGTAGCATGATCCCCAGGATCCCTAGGTTCCCCTCGTCCTGGTGCTCATCCCACTGATCATCTGATCGACAGGGTGTAGCATCGCTCCCAGGATCCCTAGGTTCTCCTCGTCCTGGTGCTCATCCCACTGATCATCTGATCGACAGGGTGTAGCATCGCCCCCAGGATCCCTAGGTTCCCCTCGTCCTGGTGCTCATCCCACTGATCATCTGATCGACAGGGTGTAGCATCGTCCCCAGGATCCCTAGGTTCCCCTCGTCCTGGTGCTCATCCCACTGATCATCTGATCGACAGGGTGTAGCATCGTCCCCAGGATACCTAGGTTCCTCCTCGTCCTGGTGCTCATCCCACTGATCATCACATATATGGTTATGCATTTCACAAACATTTTACAAAAATGCAATGGCGGCAATGATACTGCAGGCAAACTGCATTCTTGCACGACCTATATAAGTCTGTAATTGATAACCCTTTGTTCATCTGAAAGCATATCTCTGTGAAAATAAGGTTTCAGAAGCCATGATCTTAGGATGTAAGATCTCCCAGGTTAACTACTGGAAGTCAGGACATCTCCTTGTTGGTGAGCATAATCTTCCTTGACCACTGTGGAAATTAAGAAGATTCTTCACCTTGACAAAAGATCTCAAACTTTGAAAACAATCTTGTGTCGTGGACACAACCAGGTCACCCACTGTTAATGCCTCTGAACACATTCTTCTGATCACATATTCCTTGCAGTATCAGTGAGTGCCCCCCCTGTTCTATTCAGGTAGTGCCAGTGGGACTCTTGTGGACCATTTATGGCAGCCGTCTATTGCTTGCGAAACAGTTTGGCAAATTCCATTTCTTCTCGAAACCTTGAATGACGTCTCGGATATCTTCATGTTTAAGGAAAACCACGGACTCGTCTTGTAGAACATCTTCAAGAACTGAACAAACATTAATACAATCAAAGACCGTTGTTTTACCAACTCCAAATAGATTTGCAACTATTCTGTACTCTGAGGTTGAGGCAAACCCATACAAATCATTAGCAACCGTTTTCTTGTATCTAAAGGAAGATGTACATATATTTCTTTTGGGATACTCTTCCACTTTGGTATGAACCAACTCAAATCCATCTTTAGTGGTTCTAAAATTGTCATACCAATCTTTGTCGTCGCCTGATCTAATCATATCGTCCCACCATGGCGATTGCCTGTCTTGGTAGGAAATTTTCTCTCTGATAGCTTTTGCCTAAATCATGAATTAATACTAAATAATATTTACATACCCTATTTACGAACCTTACTTATCTATCATGCAAACGCATAGTAAATTTACATCTGGGTCATTTTCAAAATTGGTAGGATTTTCTGTCCGTTCCAAATAAAAAATCTGTTAACTTAAAAGGATTTTTTGTGCTAGAAAACATATTTAGAAGTTTACTAGTCAGTAAATGTGGTATATCATTAGTCTTGTCATTTTGAAATTTATATTTAGCTACATTTTAGGATCAAACTTGGCAGATTTGCTCTGTCCGGAGGTGACGGTCCTAATATCAATGTTCACAAATAATGTAAATATAAATGCAAATAAACAAACTAATTCATATTATGCCAGTTAGGATTGAACAGGCATACTCAAACTGCAGTTAATTTTTTTTTTAACTTAAAAAGTCTTTTTCTACAAATTGTAACATGCTGGTCCTGTGATTTTGTGTCCTGACCGTTACCAGTGTATGAAATTCCTGCAATAATTTCCCCCTGGAGCTGGATTGTAATTCTACTTCCTGTGTGTGCTTGAGCTAGCCCCTGTGCATGTGACAGCAGATGAAATAATGATATTCAACACATTTTGCAGAAAACTGACACCATCAAATAAGTATAAATGTTATGTGTCAACCTTAATTGTTCAGACCGTTACCAATGTATTTTGTGTCAAATATATCTCTGTTTTTTTACATTTCAATGGATATGTTGCCCAGAAATGGAAGAGGTGGAAGGCATGTCCTTTGAAATCTTTCAGGGATCATTCATTTTTTTATTTTAGATTTACTTACAAATTGTCTTGACCGTTACTGTCCAAGCCGTTACCATTCTGCAAAGTAACGGTTTGGACAGTCCTTGTAACGTTCTGGACAAAATGATTTGTATTTCAAAAAGTTGTTCATTAATATTTGAAATATAACAAATTTATAATTACTTTAAGGGTTAAGATAAGTTTAAGCAAGGAATTTTACTGTTCAAAGGAGTTTTGATGTAGTATCATAAAAAACACAGTCTCTAGTAACGGTTTGGACAAATAATAGTAACGGTCTGGACATATCTTTAATAAATTTCAATTTTAAAGAATATGTTCCATGGTGTGATAATAATTGTTTTTTTACTTATCTATCTGCTTTAAATAATAAGAACCAAAACGAATTTATCACGTTAAGTTTCTATTTTCTATAAGATCTATAGTCTTTATAAATTAAAGGTAACGGTTAGGACATCTATGGCAATAGTTTGGACAAAATGTAGTAACAGTAAACAACTTTCAGTATTCCAACCTTTAAAGATTTTTTGGGTGTAAACTGTTTTAACTTTAACTGTGAGATATGTAAGGCCAACATTTACTTTGAATATTTGCTAGGTGCTAATATGTTGGCCAAACCTTTGTATTTGATAAATATGTGTTACAATCTCACGATTAACAAAAACTAAAGGTATCCGAGTGAATAAAAGAAGTATATTTCGTGGAGACTAATATTGCACCATAATATCAACAGCAAAATGATATCTATGCAGTGACCTGTGTAGCATGACCATGTGTACAGTATTATAGTTGTTGCAGTACCTTTCAGAATTTAATCTTTTGCAACTTTTTAGAGGGATAACATTAGTTTGTTACACTGATGTCCTGACCGTTACCAATAATGTCACAACCGTTACTATTCATTCAATTTTCGTTCCCCAATTGCACTCTTCTTTAGATTATAAGTGATTTTCAACCTAGACAGGTGTGTTTTTCTATTCTTTAGAAGCTACAGTTTGTTTTTATTCAAAATCCTAAATTCATTCACAAGTTTCATATTGATATAACAAATGTCCAAACCGTTACCACAGCATGGAAGAAAACATGTCACATTTGTTACAAGTTACAATTTCTAATACGCATTTCACTGTCTGTCCAAAATAGGGTTAGCAGTTGAAGTAAATAATATAATTTTTTCCTTTCATGTTACCTGTTTCTATGTTGAATTAAATTGTTTAAGGTTTATGTCCAGCCCGTTACCATTCCTGTCCAAACCGTTACCACTATTGTCCTAACCGTTACTGATGTTAATTGACTGCTCTAATTAATTCATGATAATCATGATAATACATGAAACACTCCTCTTTATGCTGGTGTCATCAAAAGATGTCCTGGGCTTAGTAGCTGATGTGATTTTTAGACAATATTACCTGCGGAAAGCTATATGCATAATAATGTTTTAGAAAAAACGCAATTATTTTATGGTAAATAAATGAAAGATACAAAATAACACTTTCATAAATAATGATAATAGTTTTTACTTTCAAGTTTGATTAAGTCGGTGTAAAAGCTGTGTATGCCATCTTTAAAAGATTTTTATGAATTATATTTTAAAATCCTTATTCTGATTAAGAAGTGGTAATGGTCAGGACTTTCCCTCACCCTATTAATTACTTATGTATCAATTAAAAGGCCAATTAGTAAATTTGAGCCTGCATGTTTGTATTATTGAATAGTTAAGTATTTGAGATTTCATTTGAATAAAACCTAAATCAATTTTCATGAGTTTGATTTTACTGTAATAAAGAATTGAAAATCCTACCAATTTTGAAAATGACCCATCTACACATGTGTGTTTATTTGCATATATGTAAATATACTCACATATGTAAATCATGTGCATGCGAACAGGGTATAAGTTAACTTATCGTAAATGAATTGAACATATTAATGTCACAAAACGAATTTACTCACGTAAGTATTTATACTCTTGGAGTAAAGTAAATTTACACCTGCTCCAGAGGTAAAGTAAAAGAATATTTACTCCAGGAGCAAATTGATCTTGTAAATGACGTTTTGGTTATGAACCTACTTACCTCATATTGATATTTAAATGTTTGGTCCTCCTTTCAAGGGAAGAAGGACATGTTTTGAAAACTGTCGACATATTGTTTGACTGATCAATTTGTCAGTCAAGAGTTTTGTGAAGGAGTGTGGTGTATTTATTACCTGTCTGACACGTGTTGGGACACTGTGACACTGCTGTGGGTGCTGGCCTGTAGAATGACCGACTCACTTCCATCTGTCTCAACACCAGTGCTGAGTGACACAGAGCCATCAGTGCTCTCCCCTGCTTGTAGAGGGATTACGCTGCAAAAAACCCACAAGATCCATAATCATCCTTGACATATGACACATTGCTTAAACACATTAACAATAAAACACCATGGTTTTGTTGCAAGTTACTCATGGTAACACTTTTTCTCACTATGATGCACTCATTTCTTCTTCTGACTTACTCATGTAAAGGTAAAGACTCAACACAACTTCAGTGTATGCAGGATCACTTCATTGAATCACGTGTATAGAATCTGTAAGGTCTTCGGGAAAACCATTTCCAATCAGACATTCTGTACCCAACTCTTGACACTATGACAGCTACCTTGGTAACCATGGTAACAAATTTTGACCTGTATTTGGCTGCTTAACACCATGGAAGCTGTGAGTGTGATTACGAAAGTGTGTCATATAAGCTACACTGCTGGGGTATTGGCTGTTCTGTCCAAATCACATGCATTGTGAACAGATTGGCTCTTCCACAAGTTCCAGCAGATTTTCAGTGGGTCACTCTAATGACAATCTTCATGACTGACTGACTGACTGAGTTTGGTTTTACACCGTTTTTAGCGATATTCCAGCAACATCACAGCGGAGGACATCAGAATCGGGCTTCACACATTGTACTCATGTGGGGATTCGAACCCGGGACTTCGGCGTGACGAGACAACGCTTTAACCACTAGGCTACCCCACCGCCCACAAGCTTCATGAGCCTGGTACGTGTTTAACAGTGGGTCACTCTAATGACAGCTTCATTAGCCTGGTACGTGTTTAACAGTGGGTCACTCTAATGACAGCTTCATTAGCCTGGTACGTGTTTAACAGTGGGTCACTCTAATGACAGCTTCATGAGCCTGGTACGTGTTTAACAGTGGGTCACTCTAATGACAGCTTCATGAGCCTGGTACGTGTTTAACAGTGGGTCACTCTAATAACAGCTTCATGAGCCTGGTACGTGTTTAACAGTGGGTCACTCTAATGACAGCTTCATGAGCCTGGTACGTGTTTAACAGTGGGTCACTCTAATGACAGCTTCGTGAGCCTGGTACGTGTTTAACAGTGGGTCACTCTAATGACAGCTTCATGAGCCTGGTACGTGTTTAACAGGAAACATCAAAAGTACAATGACGTCAGGGCACCAAGATTCGGTGGTCAACAAAGATAGTAACTGAATCAAAAATCCAAATATGCCACCTGAATGCTATTAAATATTGGTTTGCATGCCATATATCCTTGTTTCATAATCAGCTATATATTGGTAAATGCAGAAATGTTACAGTAATAATGTTCATGACAAAAAGAACTTTCCGGAAAATACCTGGCAGGTGGGAACAACTAAAAACAGATCAGATTTCTGTGATCATTTTGTTTTAGATATCAAATACAGGGATTTACATGGAGTCCAGTATTTGAGGGTCCCTGGGACGCATACTCTTCTTAATTTGTAGGACAATAAAATGGAGGTCCCAGACACTTAAAAATTATTATTAATACTATTATTGCATTGTGTATCATGATCATCACATTGTTACAGTAATTAAATTGCAAATAATACCATAACCCAGCTAAAGTACTGTTGGAAATAGAAAAAAACTTTTTTTTTCACATTTATATCTACAATTTATGAAGTTCATATGTGAAAGTGTGAAATATCTGTTAAACTAACTTCGGCCTAACTATAGTCTCAGTGGTAGGGAGATAGGAAATGTAAAAAAAGGACTTTATTGAGGAGAGATTAGTGCAGAAATGAGCAATGCGATTTTTTTTCTAAGTCCAAAGCGACTTATTCCGAACAGACCATGGCTTTATGCAAATTAGTGTGCGATGATATTGTATTTCAAAGGACATTTTTTAAATGCCTATTTTGAAACTAGACTTAGCTTCATTATAAACGATAGCTGACGTACAAAATACTAACTTTAATACTGAAACTATTAAGGATGTAGCTACCATGGAGCGTCACTATCACTATAAAACGAAAAAGGTAGGAGGGGTCGTCTCAAAAGCAAAACCAGGACGAGTGTCACAGAAGGTGGTTGGGGTCGAACTGGGGGATAGAGATATCAGCTAAGATAAGATAATCCTTTAGGATAATAAAACTGGGGAAATAAACGGCATGTCTTAATAATTAACAAATTATATCCAGTCCTGTCGATCTTGGGATGGTCTTGCCACCTATATATTTTGAGACATTTAATACGATAGTTGATTTAAGCTTTTCTATGGATATCATATTGGTTTACATATCTCAACATAAACGTTATGAAAGACACGTAAGTTGGTAATCAATATATGAGATATATTCAATACACATGAATAAAGCATAAAATATCTTTGAGATGACCCCTTGTGCCAGTAGGCAGCACATGCTTTTCATGCCAGGTAAGTGGATGGTCCGTCGTCATACCTGGCTGAGCAACCTAATTGCCATCTATAGTCTGATCTATTGTTTTCAGCAGTTGTTCGTATTTTTTCTAAGTTTTGCCCGATTTTACAAGTAAATATGCATTTCTAGATATCCTATTACACATCCCACTGAACACCGAGTTAGGCCGATGTGGGTTATTTCAACATATGCTATTTGCAGTTGTGTAAATTTGAGGGATACAGGGTAACAGCCTAAAAACATTTTTTTCCTATTTCCGACAGTACTTTAGTAGCAAACTCAGTGGTAACTTATTGTCACTTGACGCGCTAATAAATTTTGTTGCGTCCATTGTGAATTTTTATGCGTATAGGACGCAGGAATTCGCGTCCTGTAAATCCCTGAGATAGATAGCTCCTTGAAGAGTTTCATATTCGTAGTACCTGCAGTCTTAGAGGAAGTTGACACTGGATGAAGAGACACAGTCTCACCTGAGTTTAACTTTCAGTGGTGAGTTGTTGAACAAGATTAACATAAGCACTGTTCACTGTGTTTTCAGCCCTGAGTTGGTAATTGAAGCACAAATGAACAACAGTGTAATCTGGAAAAGGTATAATATGATACGATAATTATGCACAAACACAACATTGAGATCAGAAATGCTGAGATTGCCATGTAGGCAGCGCTGGAAAGATTGCAAGAAGATATGTTGGACTTTACTAATCCTTCAAATATACAATGCCTCACAAAGGAGGTATACTCAAATTTCAATCTGAAAACAAGCTTACCTGATCAGAGTAATTATCTTTGAAAGGCAATGGTGATTATCATGACTACAGAACTATTGGGAACAGTTGTTATGACAACAAAACTACCATGCCAGCTTAGAGATCATGGCAATCCTAATTGTTCAACTCAACCCAGATCAAACAGTCATTCACAATCATCTGACATCACATCACAGACAGTCACCGTTACCCTTTATAAACACATTTCTTTTCAGAATTACACTAATTCTGAATCTCTTTGGTACAAACCAAACTGAATACTTCAATGTAAATCCTTTAGGACTGCACAGTTTTACTGGTATATCGCAATACACCTTTCAAACAATACATATTGCAATATTTTTTTTCAGAGAACTGGTATATTGGGTTAAGAACATATATGAAGTTTTTGTGATTATCTTTATGGTTTAAATTAAATCTACACAGACTTTCATTCAATGACAAAATGGCATACTGTAATACTATTAATAAATTGTATAGAAACGAAAATAGAATCCAGGGCTATGCAACCTAATTTTGAGATTGCTGTTATCAGAACCATAACATATATAGGTTTAGGGACTTATAATGTAGAAAATAGGATTGGCATGCACAATTAGTGTCACTCACTTTCAAACACTTAAGTTCCAAATAAATCCCAATAAGTATCACAATACAGGTACCTGAATCGCAGTATATTGCAATATAATTTGTTTGCCAACACACAGCCCTAAAGTGCTTCCAAATACACCAGTTGTTTTAGTGAAGTTTTGACTTGGGTGCGATCTCTGCTGCGCCACCCTCAAGAGCATATCCTTACATTCATCAACAAAGATGAAATACAACTTCGTCTCGGAATTAATTGGAAAACATATCCATCTTTTTTATCCATTAATATTTCTATCTTGATAATTGTGATAACAAGTAAAACATTTTGAAGTTTAACTTCATCAGCATATATTTTTGCCTTAAAATCCTAGCATAATTAATTTATCATTGTATTTCTATGCACTTTGGAACTTAAAAAACAACACACAGCCCTAAAGTGCTTCCAAATACACCAGTTGTTTTAGTTCATCAAGCATGAGGGGTTGTACCATGTTTAAATTAGGTGGCTAGCACATCCAGCAGACAGTCAAACCCCTGGGGCTACACAAGCACATGATTACAATATGTCAGGTAGTGCCTGGACCACAAGGTGGCAGATAACAGGAATAATACATACACATGTCAGGCTTTATATAACTGCTGTATCTGTTCCGATGTAATTGGACATGAACATGATGAATGTTGGTTCAGATAACACATAATCAGTCATACAAAACAGGCATTCAAAATGCTCATTTCAGTGTAAATGCATTCACAACACAAATCAATAAGTAGATCATAAACGTCTGTTTTAACGTGTCTCATTATTGTGCTTCTAAGATTGTATGTGAGCCAACACAGTGGCATTCAGGTATGTTTGTGCCTTCAAACTGACAAAAACTTAACAAAAATAGCTAAGGACCATCCCAATTTTCAATTAAAATATTTAATAGTTCATATTATGATCCATATATTTAAATATTGAATATTGGGGGGGTCCTTAACTTATTTTGTTGAGTTTATATATTACTCCAATGATGATACAGTATTGATACATTGTTTTAATTATGTTTTATTTCTCCCTTCACATACCATGACATACAATCTACATATACACTAGCATAAGTTTTTAAGCTAATATGTCTGAATAACTGGCAAAAACCGACAATTTCACTATGGCTTCCTATGCAGAGAATGCTCGGTGATTTGAGTAGATAAGCGCCTACTAAAGGTTATTAAGAAGTTCACAATGTGATATAATCATGATAACCGACCAATAGAAAGGGGAGAGTCTACACTGTGGATGGAGTCTTAGGAAAATCAGAAATGTGTGACCGAGCTAGATACATACATACACCCTGAGCGTTAGGACTGAAGATGAGTTATCAAGTCAAGTTTCAACATAAACTGAAACCTATTTATGAACTCTAGAATAAATAACAATAAATAAATAAAGTGGGACGGAATCAAGATGTGTGTGGGTGTTTCACTTCTATTCAACTCACTGGACACAGGTGCTGTGAAAAGTAGAACTGCACAGTATTATCACTTTAATTAATGTTTTTTCTACCAATATGCATTGCCACATTATTTCTGTGTACCCGTATATCATGGTATCTTAGAAAACTAAATATAACAAGCTATGACCTCTACACAGAAATTCATTCACAATTCATATTTTCCTCCAAAATTACTCATGTAACTGCATTTACTAAACCTCCATACAGTGGTGGAAGAATTTGGTAACGCTAAATTGGTATGTGTGTAGTGTATTGAGTTCATAAACTTCTGACATGCGTAGATGATTCTTCTTTACTGAAAATCATGGAGAAATACTCATCCATCTTCTTTCAGAAAAGAAATTAGAAAACAATCATCATGCTAAAGAGTATTGTGGGTGAAATGATAATTTATAAAAGTTTATAAACTTAAAAACTACAAAGAGATGCTCTGTCATTTCAAAAAGTAACTCATGGTACATCCAGAAGAGGAAGCTGATGATTTTATTGTCATTAGATTTTATGATGTAAACTTGTATGTGCAAAAGTGATTGAGGTTAAAGGGGCACTGATCTAGAGAAAGTCCCCAGACTGGTTGTCACTGTTGTTATTGTTTTTTTATCCCCTGAGTACCCGGATGACACCCGAGAATTTTTGACTTGGGTGCGATCTCTGCTGCGCAACCCTCAAGCGCATATCCTTACATTCATCAACAAAGATGAAATACAATTTCGTCTTGGAATTAATTGGAAAACATATCCATCTTTTTTACCCATTAATATTTCTATCTTGATAATTGTGATAACAAGTAAAACATTTTGAAGTTTAACTTCATCAGCATATATTTTTGCCTTAAAATCCTAGCATAATTAATTTATCATTGTATTTCTATGCACTTTGGAACTTAAAAAAAAAAGTACACAATCTGTTCTTAGTGAATTTAAAAAATGACTGTAATTTTTAGACATCTTATAGATTGTCTAAGTGAATTATATATTACGCATCGTACCCTAAGTGCAACCTAGTGTATGCCGTCTCGCTCACATCGAAGAATTTCACGGCAACAAACTAAATGAAGAGGAATGATTCTTTTGAATGCTACAACAAATGAATAAATACAAACATCAAAATAAAAAACTGTCTAAATTATGGCATTAAGGGACCGTTCATAATTTATGGCTAGGGGGGGGTGATGATGATTTTTATGGAGAAGCGTGTACAATGTGAATGACCCACCTAAAATTTATGTACAAAGTAAGTGACCCCCCTGCATGTCATGTCATGTACAAAGTCAATGTGCCCCCACCCCTTTCCATATTTTTAAAGCATAAGTTTTAAATATTTTTATGTACAAAATTGCTGACCCCCCTAGAAACATGTGAACAAAATTGCTGACCCCCCTACCTCCCCAGAACAAAATGGGTGACCCCCCAAAAAAATCACCATTTGTTTTCTCTCTTTCTCCCCCCCCAACCCCAAAAAAAGCCATAAATTATGAACGGTCCCTAATATCAGTCTACTTGTTCGAGCAATGTATCCATCAATACCAACATGAAGGAAAGATATCCCAATCATCTGCAGCTGACAAAGAAACCTGTTCCATGACATGTGTCTTTTATTAGTTTTAACGTTCTAACTCGTGATAGTTTCTCAGCTGGTCACATGACCTTGTTTCAGGTTTTTCATGTTGGTATATAGCCTCGTTGGTCACCCAAGATAGCACACCTGACCACTACTTGCATGATGTCCACCCTTCTTTAAACAATTAATGATAATAATGAGCTATCAATGAGGCTGGAGGTAAACCCTTTGAAAAATGGACGTTGCTTTTATACAGGCATTTCACGACAGGATATGGGTGTAATCAGTATGTGCTAGTAATTCTATATACATAAACAATAACTTTTGACAAATTCTCTGTGCCATATAAGAGTAACTGATCGATCAACGTGTTATTGATTAATACTTTGATTAATGTTAGTTGTTTAACTCAACTGACAATTCTTCTTGCTGTGCTTCCACATGCATTTTACATAACATGTAATACATTTGCCACATCAGACCTTAATTTATGATGTTGAATATTTACCCCAGACAAGAGAAATGCTCAATGGGAACCTATGTCAGGTATTCCAGGTGGTGTTACAACTAATTATGCCGGTTATAAATTCTGCGCATCAAGTGAATGATGACAGATAACATGTGTAGGTTTACACCATCAAACACGGATTACAACAAAGGAGTAGCAATCATTGCATTGCATGTGATTTAGTTACAAAAAAAAAACCCTGATTGGCAAATAAGATCATATGATTCCATGATCTATCAATGTATAATATTCCAAACCAAACAAGGTATTTTGTTATTTTAATTGTGTTCTCTATATGATTGTTCATCCAAACTTCAAGTTCATTCCAGAATGTTTGGACATCACAATATTACCGGACATGACAAAATAATGAGGTAAAAACACAGAAATAGGATCAAATTCATCCGCGCATCAGAAATTCGGAAAAACCTTACACTGCTGGGATAATTCATTACAATCAGACTAGAACCATGATGGGGGGAGATTTCCAAATAACCGTTCTTATCATGCTCATTGTGACTGTCTGATTGTTTAGGTTGAAGAAACTAATTTTCACGGGTCCTTTGGTATATGCCTATACACAAGGCCTCAAAGTTTATGTCCAATGTCGTTACAGAGTAGCTCAGTCGCATGTCCCGTTCAGTTGCATCGGCCTACAAAGGTGGCAGTGTCAGGTTAAAGCCATTGATCACTGCCCCTTATTAATCTTGGAGCAAAAGATAGGTGATACAAAAATTAACTAATTACCAAAGAATATGTAACAAAAGCATAACGTGTATAGAGACATGGACATTATACAGTCTACATGATCACAACCTATTGCTGTTATCCTCCTCATTTGAACAAAATACACATTATTGCTTAAGAGGAGATGAAAAATATAAAGGCTTATTATGATGACTGTGTCCAGTTCATGATGATCCTGATATGTCTGCACATCTGAACTAAATCTGACTTGTTATAATATGTTGCACAATTTGCATACTCTAATCAATCAGCATCGGTACGAAAAATATTTGTAATATCAAAATAAAATATTGCCACCATCAAATGTAGACACCCATTTCCTCACAGGGCTTCAGCTCTGAGATTTCCAACCTCATATTTAATAATTACCCACGTAAAACATATTCAATTCAACACTTTAAGCGCCACTTGTGCCATATCAAACCGTTCTTCGCCACCATTACCCCTGCCAGCTTCTGCTTCAACGGAGTGAAGGAACAAGAATAAGTAGAAATTAAAGAAAAATATCATATTGCCTAATTTTACCATTAAACTGTTGGAGATTATTTTATTTTCTGTCGTCGTTATTGTTAGAATTTTTGTAATATTTATTCTACAAAAATCACTTCTGGCGTAGTGGGCGAATAAAGCAGGGGAGGTAACTCCGCAAGTATTCCCCCCCCATATGGCGGACATGTGATTCAACAAGTATATTTAGATTTAAGTCCCCTGTTCCTTCACTCCGTTGAACCGGAAGCTGGCAGGGGTAATGGAGGCGAAGAACGATTTGATGTGGCACGAGTGGCGCTTAAAATCTTGAATTAAATATGTTTTACGAGAGTGATTATTAAATATGAGGTTGGAAATCTGAGAGCACAACCCTGTGAGGAAATGGGTGTCTACATTTGATGGAAGCGATATTTTATTTTGATACTAAAAATATTTTTCGAACCGAGAACGTTGCCAACATTTGCTAGCTCGCTTCGCTCGCATATAGGAAGACTGGTCATTTCTCTTTGTTGCGCAACCCGATTTGCTACAGTTTGCCTGTGACAGAATGCAAACCATTTTTTCCTGTGTTATGTTAGAAGTATCAGAAATATTCTTCACTTGGTAAGAGTTCCGCCCGTAACCCGGCTTGAAATGTATTCTATTCATTGGGATCATTTCTAGGGTTTAGGCTTTTAATATAAAAAAAAGCCCATAGGTCTATATTCTTAGGCATAGAAAAAACAATACGGGGGTTACGGGTGGAAATCTTTCCATCCGATTTCTATGTTGAATTGCGAATAGATTCTATCAATCATCACTGCTATAATATCACTACATGACAAAAAAGACTTACATTAATTTGACATAGGACTAGGGCTAGGATTTCGAAAGCCGCTTACGCGTTGGCATCAAAAGTGTGTTTGACATATTACAGAAAATGTGTCCCTGGTAATTTTAAAGTTTTCATAAGCTGTCACTACCAGACAAATAATGAATATCGACAGACACAGATGTTTAATCAATGAATCTGGCATGCAGACTAGCTGTCTTACTGCATCCTATGACAAACTATGAAATGTGAACGAAAAATATATATTTACCTTTGAAAACATAAAACGGCGACGAGAATCTTCAAACTAACACTAAATTTACTCATTTTCCGTCACATCTCTGTCTGGAATCTAGATAAACGACGAAACATGATGATCTTTTCAACGTGTTCACAAACCAGTTCTTCCTGTCAAACACTGACGTGTATTTCAATCGTTTATCTACCCCTGATTATTAGATCAGCCACCAGGTGATAGAGTGACCTCCCTTGTTTTTAGCGTCAATCATTCTAAACAGGTTCTCGACTTCCTTTGCGCACGCCAACTTGCGATGTGCGAGACGGGGCCCATTCGTGACTGACTCGCGTTATCCCGAGACACGCCGGAGATTACGAAAAGGGACGAGTGGTCACGACTGACTTGCAGGTTACAGAAAGGGGAGAGAGGCGACAAATGTGTAAATAACACGGGGTCAACTTACTTCAGTCTGCGTGACTGGTCTATACATATACTATATAAATACATAACATGGACGGATCCAGGAAATGGACCCCCCCATTGGCTCCGCCAACGCAAACAAAAATCTTCAAAGTGGTCTTAAGTCATTTTCAGAAAGGGCGGGTTCGAACCCCCACCCATAACACACAGTGCTGTATATCTTTATTTTTTTTAGGATTCATCACGGTTGGTTGGAATGGGTTGTTTACTCCGCACTCGGCAGTATTTGAGCTTATTATTCGAGCCTGGACCAGACAACCCAGTGATCAGCAACATGAGCATCAATCCACGCATCTGGGAAAGATGGCATGTCAACTAAGTCGGCAAGCCTGATCACCCCAGGGGCGGATCCAGGATTTTGGAGAAGGGAAGGGGGGTGCACATTAATTAATCATGAAGTCCAAAGGTTAAGGGGAAATGCTCCTCAGGACATTTTTCGGTGAAGAAAGTGTGTGTGTGTGTGTGTGCGTGCGTGCGTGCGTGCTTGCGTGCTTGCGTGCGTGCGTGCGTGCGTGTGTGTGTGAGCTTGATCTGGATCTGCCCCTGCAGCCCATCCTGTTAGTCGCCTCTTGCGGGTTAATTTGGGTAAATAACCGAGTCTTATTCTTACCAGTATTTGCCGAGCCTTAATTGGGGAAACATGTTCGCAGTTGTTGTAGAATATTGGTTGGCCACTATAAGTATGCATTGGGTGATGTTACATCGCTTGATGTCAGTTGTGCGGCGCCCATATATTTATGAAAATTAGAAATAAATTAACCCAAGTGAGTACCATGTATATCATATTATATGTATGTGTCAACTCTGAACTTTGGTTTTACTTCATGCAGAGACCATATATAATATATTATATAATATTAGATAGATGACAACTTCTACAGTCTATTATAGAAAAAAGGTACTTGTCATCCATTAAAATATGCCAAGAATGTAACGTACATTTTAATGACAATCACCGACAAATCGATTATTAAGTTACATTTGGTTGATTACAATCTATTGCCATAAATATTACGACTTAATTCCGAATTCTTTGAAACATATGGCCAACAATCAAATTAATTCAGTGGTTTGCTAAGGTCTAGGTACGATATTTTAAAAATTGAATATTGGGGCGTTATGACCAAATTTCGTCTATTGTTTTGGCTTTGGTCCGTTTTGGTGGGGATAATACATTTTTTTTTCCCAATCGCGGCAATCCAAAGTACATATAACACCCGTATTCAGCTAAAGGATATACCCTACACGGCATCGTGAATGTCTGTCATCAGAAGCGACGGTGATATATATTGCTAGCAAAAATATTCCAACTTTCCAAATGTCTGATGGAAATCCCGGAAGACGGCCGGGGAAACCCCAGTGACGTCACACCGAATCTCCCGTCGCCATGTTATTAGAGATAGAGTTTGTTGTCATTTTGTGACAGTTTCAGTTTTTACGTGGGTTCAGGTTTTAATACACGAAACATGTCACTTGAAGATCCATTTTTCGTCGTCCGAGGGTAAGTCAGCATAGAGTATAATATAAATTTTCAGTCAAATTTGATTCATTGAATCTGTTGTGCCGCCTCGTACACATATTCCGGCCTGTTCGCAGATTGGAAGCACTGGCAATATTTGCACGCGTTGAGAGTTTATGTTCATTAACGATGCTTGCTATTATTGCCCCTTAAAGAGGTTTAACGAGCTACTTTAGATTGTTAGGTTTACAATGTATATAATCAGCAAGGTAAAACGGGTTCAAAATTCTAACGCTTCACGTGTTCTTCTTGGCCAGGCAGTAACCATCACTTGATCATGATAATTGAGGACAGGTGATATCTGGACTGTAAACATAAATAGTTTTATGTCGTTTGTCGTACATCTGTGTCCGACACCTTGATGATTCGATCATTTATCAGGCTTTAAAACAACATTAAAACGAATGGTTACTACTGCATTAATCAATGATTGATGTGTTTATCATTAATGATAGTAGAAACGTATATGGTACATGCTGTCTGTAGTACGGCATCAAATGTTTCTGTAAATGTGACTACATGAAACTGTTAGAACTGCTAATAGATAAGCGTACAGCTATTTTTGTTATCATGTCTATCTACAAAATACATTAGAAAACATATGTAGTAAGCCCACATGGTGTGTAGATTCAGGTTCATTATTCCAGAAACTGACAGCCACACTGTCAATACAGCTTCATCTGTTAGGAGATATTAGGTTTATTTTAGAGGTTGAATTTAGTAGTTACTTTTTTTTTTTTTTTAAAGATTTGTATTGAGATAAGTGAGGTTCCTTACTGTGTGATGGGGGTTGTGTTTAGGGCTTTGTATTGTATTGAATGTAGTTCATTATTTAGTTGTTGTAGATAATGCAGCGGTAGTGTATTTTGGACCTAATTAGTGATAGTGAAGGATGTTTAGTTCCTTTATGCACCTATTTATGAGGTTATTAACGTGGGCATCCTAGGTGAAGTATTAATTGAATTTAGTTTGCTTTGGAATTTTAATGGACTATATTTGTTTTTATAAATTGTGGGAGTAATTGGGAACATACTGGTGTGTTTACGTTTGACGACTCAAGTGTTTTTTCCAGCATTTATCTGCCTGATGAATAAATAACCATATATGCATACTGTGCAGACCAATCAAATCCCAGCAATATTAATTAGATGTATTATCTTACTGCTGAGTACTTTGAAACATTTCTGAAGTCTAATGGTAAAAACCTGGTTCAATCATTTGCACATTATGCATTCATATCTTACACACAGTAAGTAAAAGTCAAGGCAGCCGTCCGGCACACAAAACATTTATTCTTCACACCTACAAAACAAGACGAGACTGATCAGGACATATCCATCTCATGTATACATCTCATAACACATATACATAACATGTGACCCAGCATCCCATGTGTTTCACATTCTGACATTCATACTTCAAACTATCATATATCAGCTTATATTATTTAAAAAATTATTTTATGAAGAATATTAAACACCAAAATGCATACAAATATTTGATATATATGTTGTCAGTGAGGTGCAGAAGGCATTGCAGACAGCTGGTGGGTTGTATACACGCTGGAGGGAGCTGCACACGCAGACCGGAGGGGGGTCAAAAGAAGAGCTGGAATGGACCACAAATGAACTACGGAACAGTTTGAGAAGTATAGAATGGGACTTGGAAGATCTAGAAGAGACTGTTGGTATCCTATTTGTTGAAGCTGTCCTGTGACTTGCCAAGCATGTTAAGTTAGTGTATTAAACCCATGTACAAAAGAAAGTATATACCTAGTGTTTTGGGGTTACTTTTGCCAAAACAAGTAAACATTTTGAATAGTTTTGTTGAATCGCACATGCATTTTATGCACCAACAGTATGAAACACAGTCGATTGATTATTAGTTGTATATACCTGTTAAGGACACATGTCAAGGTGTCAAGACGGTCATCTGACAGTCTCAGAAGTGGAACACAAAGATTGACCACCCCACAAGAAGACCTTCACCTGCACATTTTCTATCTGTGCAAGTGGATGCTGACAATAATGTCATCAGCTTCGTCAGTGTTGGGTCAACCCATCACACATGAGACGACTTTGTCACTGTGTGCTGTGTGCATCTGGCCCTATCGTCTATTTCAGGGCATGTTTTGATCTCAGCACCATCAACTGAATTGTCTGCACTGGGCTAGGAACTAAAGTTGCATTTAGGTCCTATATCTATGGTGTTTGGGCAACACGTACACAATGTACTTGTAAGTCACAGTGAAAACACTTTTCAAAATATTTATGATTTGTCGTTTGGTGTGAAGTTGTGAACTTCTTTTCTACACCAGTTAGTATTCTGCAGATAATGAAGCACATCTATAGCCAGTGATCAAGATAATAGTATTCTCTAAGTTTCTGTTGGCTTTCTTAGATTGGAAATACTTTCTCCACTTTATATATTTTGGGTTAGTAGGTCTGTAAAAAATGGTGTGAAACCATTTAGCAAAAAAGGTTTATTTCCTTGGGATTGGTGATCAGCACTGTAAATATTAGAACACACAGAGTATACTCTTGGATGTGGACCTTAACGTAAACACAGGGATTGTCGAAAAAAATCCAAAGAAATTCAAAATTGATGAATATGAGCTGAAAGAAAGACGCAACTTCATTGACAAGACCAAATGGACAGTGAAGGTGAGTCTGCTGTAGTGGTTGTCATTCTAAAGCGTGGCTTTGCAACATCAGTTTAGTTATAAAGACACAAGAATAATGATTAGATGAGGCTGCTGAGTTCATTGTTTCTTATACAATGTAATTTTATGTTATTAGCATAATGGGGCGATAGGGAAGCCTAGTGGTTAAGGCGTTCGCTCATCATGCCGAAGAGCTGGGTTTGATTCCCCACATTGACACAATGTGTAAAGCCCATTTCTGATGTCCCTCGCTATGATATTGCGGAAATATTGCTAAAAGTGGCATAAACTAAACTCACTCACTGACTATTAGCATAATGTTTATGTGAACCATGTTCCACTGGATGGTATATTTGTATCAAACTTGAACAGCAAGTTTCTTCCATTACCATCCATTGACAAATACCCAGAAAGCTAAGGTAACCCCAGGAAGAACTGAAGCAAAGCTTCAAAATGGATGTGCTGATTATATTTACTATCAAGAGAAAACTGCATTTTTCCATTCTGTTTTGTTTAGGGAGTTCCGAGATAATCACGTGAAGAAACTGTGTTTGGCAGTTGTTACATAACCTTGTGACATGCTACAGTCAAAGCAGTACATCCATTCTAATTCATTACATGACTCTATGCTGTTTCAATTATTGTACAGAGAAGATTAAAGTTATTTAAGTCTATTCGAAGAACTACAGATAACTTTTTGGGTCATTGAGTTATGAACTTGCTTGCTTGGTATCCTAATTTTCCTGTGACTAACCTGATCAATTCTACCCACCTCACTGAAACTCAGTTGGGTATTTTGCCATTTTCCATTAATTGTAAAAAATAATAAGTTAATAAAAAAAATAATAAGTTTAAATGTTGGTTTACATGTCTGTTATTTATATTTGATCTGTAAAATGAGAAACGATAAGAAAGATAGTAAGTTGCCAAGTTCATGTATTGAAATATAACCTCTCAATATACGTCAGTTATTTCATCTATCCACCAGTAAGATTTTACATTTTTGTGTGTACACATATAAGATCAAATTTATTGAGTATTTACAAAAATTCAAGCGTACTTGTACGCTATAGACATAATAGGAATTGAGTTTTCGCATAAATATTTGCGTAATTTACACAGATACGCAGCTTATCTATACCTCTGTATTCTGTTATCCACCATACCATCCCCATCAGCTGTGAGCCAGTGATGTGCATCCTCACAAAGATAAAGCCTTGAGACCACGAGTGTCTTTTAGTGTTGTTAATTTCCCATCCATCATAGCGCAGGAAAAACACAAGTGAACTTCTGTAGATGCTTCATCTGTCAAATATGTTTCGAGAAGTGTCACAATCCTAGTATTGAGTAATGCGCTCATGGATCTAAGTGTTAAGACCATACTGTCACTGTCTTTATGACTTTCACAGTAGAATATTAACATGATTCAGTACAAGTTAATGAAGCTTGTCTGGCTATTAATCAAGACAGGTATGTGTGTTGTTTTCTAGGATATGAAGGATGAGTTGTCCAGTCCAGGGTCGACCAAACCTCGGGAGGGAAATCCAAGACAGGTAGATGTCATAGCAGCACACAATAGTTACATTTCCAGTGCTCCATGTTGTTCTGTGTTCAGCTTGACATCGTCCATTCAAGAATATTGCTTGGTCTTTGTACATGCTGAGACCATGTGTCTGTCATGTTGGTAAAACTATTGAACATCTGTTGGCTGAGAACACCCTGTTGGTCCTCACTGTGGAAGAAGTTTTGCCAGCTCTGCTAGAATAGTGGCTCCAGGTCTCGAGCTAGCCCTCACTCAGTGCATGTTCAGATAATGTCAAGATTTATGTTGTGGTACATGTGCTGTACTTTGAGTTTCTGTTCAGGTGATAGTTTGTCATGTCTATATTCCAGCATCACTTGCTTGACATTAGAATCTATGTTGAAACGTTGCCTTTCACAGAATAAAGAAGTTGTATATCCAAAAAAGTATCATCATTCTTCATTTAGATATACCGGTATGCACCAAGGCCCATATTGTTACAATGCATGTCAGTTCCTTTACTTAGTTTCTGTAGAGTTAACAACAGAGTTGTTGTTTTTTTATCCCCCCGGCATGTAATGCGGGGGGATATAGTCGACGGCTCCTCCGTCCGTCCGTCCGTCCGTCTGTCCGTAATCATTTTGTTTCCGGAGCATAACTCAAAAAACGTTTAATATTTTTCAACAAAAATTGGTAGAAATAACAATATAACAAACAGAACCTAAGGTGGCGTATTTTGCTGTTTACAGAGTTTTGTCATTTTCATTCTTTACAGTTTCCATGGAAAAAGGGAGGGGTGGGCTTCGTTTCCGGAGCACAACTCAAAAACTTCTTAATATCTTTCAGCAAAACTTGGCAGATATGTGAGGCAGATCCCCAAGTGGAGCCTTTTGCTTGTTACAGATTTTTGTCAAGTATATTTTTCTTGGCGTCCATGGAAATGTTTCGGACATAGTCTCAAAAGAGAGGGGTGAGCTTCGTTTCCGGTGCACAACTCGAAAACCGTTCAATATCTTTCTGCAAAACTTTGTAGATATATCAAACAGAAGCTAAAGTGTTGCCTTTTGCTATTTACACATTTTTGGCATTTTTATTTTTCCCGGTTTCCCTGGAAACGATTCGGACTTAGTCTCAAAAGGGATGGCTGGTATTCGTTCCGGATCACAACCCTAAAACCTTTCAATATCTTTCTACAAGACTTGACAGGTATATCAAACAGATCTTGAAGTATTGCCTTTTGCTATTTGCAGGTTTTTGGCATTTTTATTTTACATGATTTCCATGGAAACAATTTGGACCTAGTCCAAAAAAATCAAGTTGGACTTTAAGTAACTATCAGATGATTTGTTCTTCCAAATTTATGGGGGCCGGGGGGATTTGTCATCTTCTGATGACTCTTGTTTCAAGATAAAAACACACTTTGCTAAGATGTCTCTTTGTGTCATTTAATGGACTTGATTGTCCTACATCTCATGCTAGCGCCTTACAGAAAATGGAACTTATGTTTATTGTCTTTAATATTTTTTTTCCCAGCAACACGTTTTGCGGGGGGTATTAAAATGCAGTCTGTCCGTGCGTGTGTCCCTGCATCCGTGCACATTTGTCTTTTCCGGAGCAGAACTTTTAAACCGTTCAATATTTCTTTACCAAACGTGGCACATAGATAAGTCTGGTGGTGTACTGGTGCCTTTTGGTAGTTTTGGATTTCTGATTATTTATATATTTTTTATTCCATGGCAACAAGTTTGACTTTGACTGAAATTGGAGTTGGTGCATTTTTCCAGAGCAGAACTTTAAAACCGTTCAATATTTCTTCACCAGACTTTCCACATAGATAGGTCTGGTGGTGAACTGGTGCCTTTTGGTAGTTTTGGAATTCTGAATAAAATATTTTTTGTTTCCATGGCAACAAGTTTGACTTCGACTGAATTTGGTGGTAGTGCTCCTTCCTGGAGCAGAACTTAATAACCTTTCAATACTCTCCTTCCACTTTGCCATATACACACCAAAACATTTGACATAATCATAACTATAGTCCGTTTGGCTCAAAAGTGGACCGATGAATTGCAATCTAACTTGAAAACTAATAAACATAACATACTCAATGAAACGCTGATCATAATCAAAACATCACTCTGTGAGGTTTTTGCAGAATTTTTGTCCTAAAATTAAAAAAGTTGTTTAACAAACTATCATTAAAATATTGACACAGTTCACTATTTGTTACGAGGGAGGAGTGCAGAGAAAGGGACAGCCAGGTGTTCGAGAAGCACGTTCACAGACAAAGTTATTTATTCATTAACCTGTGCTGTGCTGTGCCGTCTCCATCCGTTCTCGAACACCTGGCTGTCCCTTTCTCTGCACTCCTCCCTCGTAACAAATAGTGAACTGTGTCAATATTTTAATGATAGTTTGTTAAACAACCTTTTTATTTTTAGGACAAAAGTTCTGCAAACACCTCACAGAGTGGGTATGATGTTTTGATTATGATCAGCGTCTCATTGAGTATTTTATGTTTATTAGTTTTTGAGTTAGATTGCAATTCATCAGTCCGCTTTTGAGCCAAACAGACTATAGTAGACATATGCATAAGAGTATTTTACCATTGAGGGGGATATTGATGACTTTGTCTTCTTGTTCTGATTGACATGCAAACTACTTTTTTCTAGAAATAATCTTTTCCTATGTTTGACTTACAAAGCGTAAGTCTTAAATAATTAAACAATTGCAAATTTGTCCTTATCCTGACTCATGCTTTTTGCTTGTCTTCTTCTTCTTGCGAACACAGTGGAACACTTGTATCTCCCAATTGAAGCTCCCTTCAATGTAAAATCACTAATTAGTACTCACCAAGAGTTATCTCTATCCCTCTCTTTTGGCGGGAACGAGGGCGCCACCTCCGCCACATGCCTCACTCTCTCCTTCTTCGCCCAGTGAGCAGGATGTGAGAGCGCCTGTGTCTCCCTACACACTATATCCTTTGTTTATTCTTAGTTATTTACCTCTCATAGACTTCTATAGAGGTGTAGCTAGTATCCTTCAACATAATGCATTGATATTTATTCGTGTTTCTACTGTTTATTCACGGGACTCCATGTTTGTTCAGATAGATTGCGTTGATGAAAATCTGCACGATTTGTAAATTACGTTTTTCTGCTGCTGACCCGCATTTAATATGCCCTAGTTGTACTACGCCATGCTCTACTGTTTCACGTTGCAATTATTGTATTAAATTATCCAATTCTGGCTTTGATAAATATTTATTATGCGTCTTGAGACGTGCAGCAGATAGGTCACGTTAACGCATTTTAGCCATGGCTAATACACCAGAGCCCTTACCCTGTCAACTGTTGTCGGACGACCCCCTCCCGTCTGGTGTTCCGCTAGAGTTACCCTCGGAGGAGAGGCATGGGACGCAGTCCACTACCTCCAAGAAGCGACCTGCATCCCCGGACATCCCGTCGTCGCAGCCAAAGACTAGGAGGGCTTCCATGTCGTCACAACGCAGACTCCACACCCCCACGGCTACATCCACGTCGCAGGGGAAATCATCGAAGTCCAGCAGTACTTTCTCAGCCGAGATTGTTCCCGTTACAGAGTTGGACCTGGTTGATGATGATGATCCGATCATCATTCCAGATGTACGGCGGAAGAAGCTGCCAGTGTCGGCAACTATAACTTCAGCGCAGATTAGCACGCAGGCTGAGGCACCTACACTGATGTCAGAGAATCGTCCTGAGGGTGCCGTCGCTACCAGCGTAGAGAAGGCATCAACTACTTCAGCGCAGACCGTCCCAGACGACCTGATGAACCACATCATGCAAATGATGGAAGATCGCTTCGGTCTTCGGAGGCCTTAGAGCCACGGGCGACCCAGCCCGTTTGCACGTCTCCGCGTAGGGTGACCCAGCCCGCTAACGCGCCTCCACGAAGGGCGACCCAGCCCGTCTCTAAGCCTCCGCGAAGGGCGACCCAGCCCGCCTGCACGAAGGACCCCGATCCTAAGCAGTCACAGAAGGCTTCACGGAGGATGTCTGTATCACCTACGTCGGACCTTGATGAGAGAGGACATTCGCGAAGCAAGATCCTCTCATCCCATGATTCCGACTCAGACTTTCAACCTTCACGAAGGTTAAGTGGCTCCAAGTCATCCTCATCTAGAAGATCTTTAAGAGAATCACCGAGAGCTTTCACGAAGCTACCAGCGTTCGCCAAGGAAGTCCTTATAGACGCCACTCGTCAGTCCGTTCACCACATCATTCCACTCGCCGATCTCCTTATCGATCGCCTCATAAGATATTGGATGGTGAATAGTCTGGAACTTTCCTCCCCGTCTAAGAACGAGAACTCAGCCCACACATATCTTATGAAGGAAGATGATGCTGACACAATCACCTTACTCCCGACTGACCCGATAGCAGTGGTGCCAGCTAATCTGGATACAGCCTTTAGTAAAGCCACGAAATCACAGACACCTCATGTGCCGCATTTCAATGCTAACAAGTTTGCAGGTCACAACATGGACTCCTTTTACAAGGCTCAAGATATCGATGATAACTATAAGATGATCAGCGATGCCAAGTCCAAGACGTACAGAATAGATATCTGGGCAAGCTAGCCCAGATGGAAACCATATCAAGGAGGATGTTTTTTGGTTTAAACAGATCAAGAACAGTCAATGAAACTCTCCTCACGAAGTTCAGAGACTCTACATCTGAGGATGATAGAATGGTTTACTCGGCCCTCCTCATGCAGAAGAAGGACCAACAGTTCCTTACGGATCACTTAACAGCACTATCCGCAGCTACTACTATGGCTCGTCGTCAAGGTCTCCTCGCCACCTGTAATTGGGGTGATCACTTCACCGCACCACTTTACACAGCCCCGTGGTCTTCTCCGTCCATCTTCGATGGTAACATAGACAAAGTCTCTAAAGACTCAAGAGAGGTACTTATGTTTAAGTCTATGGATACGCTAGCAAGCATCATCAGACAAACTTCGCAGAGGTACTAAGGCAAATCGAAGTTCTCCGGGCTACAGAGAGCACGGGACAGGAAGATGGCTAGTGTAAGAGGAGCGAAAGAGTCTTTTCGCCGCCCATACGGCAATTACAGAGGAGCATCGGGAAGAGGCAGGTCATCCAGAGGCTCTCGCAATTATAAACGATGAAGGACAGGTTCAGAACGACTGGAGTCTTCCACCCCCAGCCGTTCCAGTACAACCATCACAAGTGGGTGGACGCCTTCAACTGCACTGGAAAAACTGGGGATTCCTAGAGGATCCATATGTCTCCAACATCCTACAGCACGGATATCGCATACAATTACAGGCCACGCCTCCGCTGACAGTCATCCCTCCGAGGTTCGACTTCCAGGCTCTACAACTCCCAAAGTTAAGAGAAGCAGTATCAACACTCCTAACCAAGCAGGCCATAGAGTACTAGACCAAGTTAACATCGAACCAGGCTTCTACTCCCCAGTTTTCCTAGTGCCTAAGAAAAATTCCAAAGAAAAGTTTCGTCTCATCTACAATATGAACACGTTCAACAGAGACTATCTACGCAAACCGCCAGCGTTTTGCATGATACACTTACCACAACTACGGCACTTAATTCGTCCCAGAGACTACATGGCCAGTATAGATCTGCAAGACGCATATCTACACATCCCAATACATCCCTACTCCAGGAAATACCTTCGGTTTACACTAGACGGGCTGCATTACCAATGGAAAGTACTACCTTTCGGAATCTCATCGGCCCCCCTGGTTATTCACAAGAGTGACGAAACCTATCGTCTCTTACCTACATCGTCAAGGTCTACGCAGTGCATTCTACCTCGACGATGGGATACAAGTGGATCCAGATCCACAGCGTCTCAGACTACAGTTAAACTTCATCATCAAGCTACAAACACAGCTAGGATGGTTATTAAATCTACTCAAGTCGGACCTAGAACCTACGCAAGATCTGCAATTTCTAGGCATTCGATTTCTCACGGCGCAGAATCGTATCGTCGTACCGGAGGACCGATGGATTAAGATCCAACAGATAATCCCTCAAGCCTTACTCTCTCCGCTACCACTACGACAATGGCAGAGCCTGTTGGGTCTACTCACGTCAGCTCAAGACATGACAGTCAGAGGCAGACTACAGTTACGTCCGTTACAGGTCTTCATCAACTCTCATCTCGACGACCCTCAACCATTCAGTCTACCGAATCATGTCAAACCTCACCTACTATGGTGGACCAAGAGATCGAATGTTTGCGATGGAATCTGTTTAATAGAGCCGGAATTGAAAACACATCTCTATGTAGACGCTTCGCTCCAAGGTTGGGGAGCACACCTCGCCAACAGGACGGCATCAGGGTTATGGAGCCAACAAGAGAGCAAACTACACATAAACTTGCTAGAAATGCAAGCAGAAGTAAACGCCATACATCATTGGAGCAACTTACTAAAGAATGCCAAATTGATGATTCATACAGACAATTCAACAGTGGCGTTTTATGTGAACAAACAAGGCTCAACCAGGTCCCTGAACCTATTGACTCTATGTTTTCAATTGTTCGATCTAATAGATAATCTCAACATACATGTCAGAGCATGTCACATTCCAGGAGCAAAGAATGTAATAGTAGACGCTCTCTCTCGGCCACACCTACCATCGCCGACAGAATGGATGATCCATATAGAGATATTCGCACAAATTATCAAGAAAATAGGAGTTCCACTAATAGACCTATTTGCCACTCGCTTCAACAATCAGCTGACAACATTCATATCACCAGTCCCAGACCCACCAGCATGGGCAACGGACGCACTAAGCATATCGTGGGAAGGACTCAACGCTGCAGACGCCCCCCGCCAGCGGTTATCCCACAGGTGTTACAGAAAATCAAGCAAACTCGGACCCTCCAAATGCTTTTGGTCGCCCTACTGGCCAGCGAGCGTGGTTTCCAACTCTTATTCAAGAAATCGGACAACCAATACTACAACTTCCAAAGCCGAATCTACTAATACATCCTCACACCAAACAAGCATCGGAAAGCCAGAAGCATTCCAACTTCATTATGGACTGTATTAAGGCGTGTCTAAACAAGAGAGGTTATTCAGCCAGAGCGGCGAAAGCAGTCACGCTTGCCTTACGTAACTCCACTCGCAACTTGTACGATGACAAGTGGCACAGTTTTGAAAATTATGCTGCAAAGAAAGGATTTACAGCTAGAAATGCTACACATCCACAAGTGGCTGACTACTTATGTTACCTACGTCAGACTAAACATCTAAAAGGCTCAACATTATCAACATATCTCGCAGCTTTAAGCTCTGTCATAACTATGAGAACGGGTGTCAAGCTGACGAAAACACCAGAGTTACTCGCCTTACTACATGCATTCCGATTGGAGGATCAGAAACAGAGGTTTCGCGCTCCAGCATGGGATCTAAATATAGTGCTCCAACACCTCACAAGTGAGGCATATGAACCACTGGAATCAACATCATTCGAATTTCTGACACAGAAAACTTTGTTCCTGTTATCCCTAGCAACAGCAGCCAGGATGTCAGAGATTCACGCACTAGATTACGAGAGAACACGCTTTGATGACAATCATAACATCGTGCATATGGGACTAAGCTGGGATTTCATCGCTAAAAAACCAGTTGCCAGGTCAACCAGACATCCCAGCTCTCTCGTCAATTCTCGGACCTCATGATACACTGGATCTATCATTATGCCCAGTCAGAGCACTGAAAATATATCTACGACGTTCCAATCCGAGGCGACATAAACTCAGACGATTATTCATCCCTCTATCGACAGCTACACAGACGGAAGTCTCACGTACAACTATCTCGATATGGATCAGGGCTGTCATACTATGTTCCTACAAGGCTGCAGGACTTGACCCTCCAAGAGCATCTAATCCACATGGAATTAGAGCGCTAGCTTCAACACTTGCTCTACACGGCAATTGCTCTTTGAATACCATCATGGAGGGCTGCTTCTGGAGATCCGATATGATGTTTGCCAACCACTATCTGAGAGATATCACCACCGAGGACGTCTCAGGTATTCACCATTTCGGTCCCATGGTCCTCGCACAGTAGTTGACAGTCCCTCGGAGAAGATAAGTCAATCTTAGGAGATTTTTACTGCTTATTTCATAACAGTACTATATAGCTAATAACTCCATGAAGTTTATGCTATTGTATATATGTTAGCTTAAGTTTAATCACTATCTTAAGCTCAGTACTATGTTGATTATATCACAATAATATCATTAGCTAACAACTCTATGAAGTTTATGCTATTATATTATCAAGCTTAAGTCTATATTAGTCTTAAGCATAGTATTCATGTTGTAAATACGTTATTTATGTTTATCATAATATCTGTATATTGTGGTAACCCATATATGGCAGCTGATAAGTTTAACAGCAGGAATTAATCAATTCAGTGCCTTTATGAAGTTCCCATAGGGGTTATTACAGTTATTACAGTTATCAAATCACTAATTATCTAAATCCAAAGTATTCTGTATTCCCACCTCCGTATCCGTAGGATTGTACAAGCAAAAAGCATGAGTCAGGATAAGGAAAAATATGTAATTTTCTGAATAAAATTGATATTTTATACTTATCCTGACTCATGAGGTAAGCCCTCCCATCCTCCCCACATAACACTTTGGATTTCCCTGAAAATTCAAGTGTTGGGCTCGATATATAAGGAGAGAGTGAGGCATGTGGCGGGAGGTGGCGCCCTCGTTCCCGCCAAAAGAGAGGGATAGAGATAACTCTTGGTGAGTACTAATTAGTGATTTTACATTGAAGGGAGCTTCAATTGGGAGATACAAGTGTTCCACTGTGTTCGCAAGAAGAAGAAGACAAGCAAAAAGCATGAGTCAGGATAAGTATAAAATATCAATTTTATTCAGAAAATTACATTTTGGTAACATTAAGTTCATGTGTTGTTTATGCATAATTAATGACATAATTACTGGTGTGTTTTTGTGGTCGCTTCTCTAGTTATAAGGGGGAAATGGGAAGCCCAGTACGTACATGTGCCTCGCTGGACTGATTACGCTTCTAGGTTTTTCAGCAGCATTCCTGTTTTTATGGAAAGCTAGATGACATTCTTTTTGTTTTGTTTCACTGTTATCTGAAAACGTAATGTGTATGCCGGTGATGTAACACACATGATCTGTACATTTGTAGTCCCTTCTGTCCGCCAATGGTGCAAATGTTGACCGGTACACTCGCCTTGACCAAGACATGGAACGATCCAATCAGAACTACATCGATGATACAAGTCAGCAACAGCAGGTGAGCTAGCTTCATCTTCCATTGTATGTACCAAGCAGGGGATGTCTAACATATACTGATACCAACAGCAACATGAAATAGACACAGTACAGACACGGCTGAATTCGCTGAAAATGTTTCTGAAATGTGATAAATGTTGTCTCCAGTAGAAATATTCCAGCTATGTAATGACTTCATGGAAACGATGGAATGTGGGATGGACTGACCAGCGGCTTAGAACAGCAGGTGAACTCCAGCAGAATCACTTATACACTCACAACCACCTAGATGAATGTCGAGTCTCAGATGGTTCCTGTTTTAATGGCCAGTCCCTCCAACAGGCAAACACTTATCACTAGTTGTGTAATAGTTCTAAAATTGTAGGTATGTGTTTGGGTTTACTTTGTAGTACATGCATCACAGAGAAACTATACAGCTTGAGGTTGCCAACCAGGTCCAAAATAGGTTATTCTGTCTTTACAAAACAGTGTCCTATTGAAAATGACCCCCTCTTCTCTCAATTGAGTGAGATCTGAACATCGTTTCCGGAGCATAACTCGAAAACTTTTCAATATCTTTCAGCAAAACTTGTCAGATATATGAGACAGATCCCAAAGTGGTGCCTTTTGCTATTTGCAGATTTTTGGCATTATTATTATTATTCCCGGTTTCCATAAAAATGATTGGGACTTAGTCCCAAAGGGAGGGGTGGGCTTCATTTCCAGAGCACAACTCGAAAACGTTTCAATATCTTTCAACAGAACTTGGCATAAATATAAGAGACACATCTTGAAGTGGTGACTTTTACTATTTACAGATTTTTGTCATTTTTGTTTTTCTCGGTTTCCATGGAAACAGTTCGGACTTAGTCTCAAAAGGGAGGGGTGGGTTTACTTTCCAGAGAAAAACTCGAAAACTTCTTAATATCTTTCAGCAAAACTTGGTAGATATGTGAGGCAGATCCCAAAGTGGTGCCTTTTACTATTTGCAGATTTTTGGCATTTTTATTTTTCCCGGTTTCTATGGAAGCGATTCGAACTTAGTCTCAAAAGGGAGTGGTGGGCTTCATTTCCGGAGCACAACACGAAAATCGTTCGATGTCTTTCAACGGAACTTGGCAGATATATGAGACAGATCTTGAAGTGGTGCCTTTTGCTATTTGCCGATTTTTGGCATTTTTATTTTTCCCGGTTTCCATGGAAGCGATTCGAACTTAGTCTCAAAAGGGAGTGGTGGGCTTCGTTTCCGGAGCACAACTCGAAAACCGTTCAATATCTTTCAACAAAACCTGGCAGATATATCAAACAGATACTAAAGTGGTGCCTTTTGCTATTTACAGATTTTTGACATTTTTATCTTTTTTGGTTTCCATGGAAACATTTTGGAGTTGGACTTTAATCTCAAAAGGGAAGGGTGGGCTTCGTTTCCGTTTCACAACTAGAAAACCATTCAATATCTTTCTATCAAGACTTGGCAGATATATCAAACAGAACCTACAATGTCAATACAATGGTGCCTTTTGCTATTTGCATATTTTTCGGAATTTATACTTTTCCTGATTTTCATGGACTTAGTCCATGGACTTATTTGGACTTAGTCCAAAAAATGAAGTTGGACTTTTAAGTAACTGTCAGATAATTTGTCCTTTCAAATTTGTGGGGCCTAGGGGGATTTGTCATCCTCTGATGACTCTTGTTTCACTTCAACCAAGCATCAAGTTTTGTCTTCCCTCCCTAACCTATTCATGTTGATGGAATCCGAATGCTGCAAATGTTTGCTCCAAACACAATCATGGCATATATGTTTGATATTCTAATGACGTGTCTAAAAGCTGTTTATAAAAGGTAGGAGCTTACACCATGAAGCTAATGTGTAAGCACAAGTTATGAACGTCAAGTATGAAGGCAGATGTTTATTTTGAGAGTTACGTATAGCGGACGAAATCTGTTTGACATGAACAGGAGTGGTCTGCATAGAATCTATGCAACAGTGTGTGACTATATTAAACCTTTCGCTAAGTGACTATGTGTCTTCTCCAGCAAGCAACTAACTTAGCCTCTGATCCCAGCTGAGCCAACTCTGCCATCCTTTTCAAAGCCATACTCTCCCAGTGCAGTCCAAAGATTGTCCTTTGAAACCAGCGTGGAAGTATTCTACAAAGTACAAGCTGTATGTTTTCAGTTGCTGATGAGGTCCCAGGATGAACAGCTGGACAAGATTGGCTCCAGTGTTGGCATTCTCAAGAACATGAGTCAGCAGATTGGATCCGAACTAGAAGATCAGAATTTGTAAGTAAATCTGATCCCTGTTCTCCCTCACAGCTCACAGACGTCAGGTCAGGTTAGTCTATACGTGCCATGCAATACAGGATGATGGGGCACCCTAATAGTTAAGGTATTTGCTCATCACCTGAAAGGCCAGGGTTTAATTACACACAGTTCTTGTGTTCCTGCCATGATATTGCGGGAATATTGTTCAAATCATGTAAACACGGTAAATTCCATACTCACAACAATCAAGAACAGATGTCATCTCTTTTATTTTACATTAATATTACTAAATGAAATTAATCTAAACCATGACAAATCCAAACAATTGCAAGAACCTTAGGAAAGGTGTCTTGAATGCCATCAAATGACCGTTGAATGCTTCTCACTGATTGTCCTTGTCTTTGGTTCAGCTCAAGACATCCTCAACAGTGACTATTAATTTGCCTAGTGAAGAAGGACTTTTCTTTGAGAAAATACTCACTGAGATGTTTTTGATGTTGTCCACATTGTCTCCTTTTTGTCCAAAACAACATGATGAATTTCAATCAAGTTTTGTATGAATGTCAGGGATTCAAGTTTGTCTCGGCCACAGAATTAGAATTTCTGTGTGGCCACCAGTTGTCATCTTCAGTGCAAACAGAATATTCAGAAAGTTGTTTCTCAAAATTTAAAGCATCTCCAGAGAAAAAACTGGACCAAAGAGGCTGAAACTTCACAAGGTTGTTTCCTTGTATGAATCTGCTGGAGAGTTGCAAATATTAGGACAGGGGGAGTTCATAGTGGTACATAGTTCAGTTGTGCTTGCATCTGTTTAGGGGATATTTACCCCCCGCCGCACGTTTAGCGCGAAGCGGGGGATATAGTATTAGGCTCCGTCCATACGTCCGTCCGTACGAATTGGAATATCTTAAGAACCGTTCTCTAGATTCTTTTCATATTTGGTACCTAGGTTCATCACAGTATAAGAAAGGTCCAAGTCAGGTTTGGTGACCTTGACCTTCATTTCAAGGTCACAAGGGGACTTTAACGTTTTACGTGCATGTTAAGCTATCTCCAGAACTGTTCCCTGGATTTTCTTCATATTCAATACCAAGCTTTATCTAGGGAAGGCCCAGGGCCCAGTCAATTTTGGTGACCTTCACTAAATTTTCAAGGTCACAGAGACACTTTGAAGATTTCAGCATGTTAAACTGCATGTTAAGATAGTCAGCAAGATATCGCAAAAAATATTCACTGGATTTTCTTCATATTGACCCCAAGCTTCATCTAGGGAAGGCCCAGGGCCCAGTCAATTTTGGTGACCTTCACATAATTTTCAGGGTCAACGACACTTTGAAGATTTCAGCATGTTAACCTGAATTGTCAGCAAGATATTTCAAGAACGGTTCACTGGATTTTCTTCATAGACTTTCAAGACTTCCTTGAATGTTTTTCAAAAAAGCAATTTCTTTAGTACTATTTTTGCATATTTCATACTCTATGACATTCATGTCAAGGTCATAGTCAGTCTTGAAAATATGTGTGTGTTTGAACAACTATAGAGCAAGATATCAAGAGAGGTTGACTGGTCTTGTTTTTGTTGACATTTAACTTCATCTTAAACTTTCATTACTTTATAAGTTTGATTTGATAATTTGCGGCGGGGGATTATGTCTCCTTAGTGACAATGCTTGTTTCTGATTATTTTACCTTTGTGCTTAGACTGCGTGCAAGCTGAAACTTCTAAAGGTTCTTACCCATTGATATTTCTGTTATGACAATTTTCCAGCTGATCCATGGATTTATGCTGATTTTATTTCAAATTGATCAATTCTGTGAATGATCTGAACTCCCAATCGATGACACATTATTACGTTTTCAGCTGAAAATAGATTTTCCTGTTGCAATCCCTGATATTTGTTCAAAACGTTCTGACATTTGGTGTATGTGTGAGTAGTAGTGTTGACCGACATATGCTCTATCTCAGAAATGTCCAGCCATTTTCAAATGTATCAAATGTTTGGGATTACTCCTTCTCAGTGAACATACTCATAGCCATTTTCAAATTTTCAAGAGTCAAACGACTTCGTGATTCTTACTCTCGGGATGGCATTTCAGGATGTTTGGTTGGAAAATATGTACAATTTATCATTGAGTTTAATGCTTTAATTACACATTTTATGCCCTAAAAATGGTTTCTGTGCCCACTGGCAACATATATTTGTCAAAAAACTATAACTGTGTGGGTACTGGTCCTGTATGGTATAGACATACATAACTGACGACCTATTAAACATGAAATCTTTTTCTCACTTGACCTTTGACTATTGTTAACCAATTCTTATTGTTTACATTGTTTAAATGGGTAGTTAAGTTGTTTTAATCCAAATGAGTCTTTATTTGGATGAATTTTAGCTTACCAGTCAGTTCTCATCTTTTTCTGCACAGACACAAGGTGTTTAGTACCAAGCATTATTGATGAATACAATTATAGCTGGAAAAGCTTGTCATTCCGAAAATTGATTTTGTAGGATGCTTGATGACTTCCGGCATGAAATGGACAACACAGAATCAAGATTAGATGTTACCATGAAGAAAATGGCGAAAGTTTTACATATGTCTAATGGTAAGATATCTTTGTCATTTTGACCTACATCGGTGTATGGATGAATAGTCATGTATCCATGCACCGATGTGTCATTTGTGAAGTCGTAAATATCAGATGACGGAGCATTATCAGTTTGGCATTCTTGTTTGTCTTATTGTTTGGTACAAGTATGGAATGAGCAGTGACCTGTTTCCACTCATCTTTTTCTGAAGTTCGGAAATTTGTTTTTGGTTTCTCTTCAGGAAAAGTCAATTCCTGAACTTTGACAAATGAATCAGATCTGTCCCCACTGTGTCACTCTGGCACCTGACTATGTACTGGTGTATTCAGAAGAAATAATATATGTATCTGAACAACTACAATAAATATGTGACTATGCAGTGACTAAGTGAGTGAATCAGTCAGTCTGCAACTCAAGCATGCATGAGTAACATTTTTACTTGGGTGGAATAAAAAGCTGAAATGCTCTGAGCCTATGATTGACAGCATTTATGGAGTTGGTGGTTCATTATTTTTCTCTTCTTTGTAATCACCTCTTAGGTCAACACACTTCTGCCAGGGATGCAGGACCAGATTTTGCCTTCTTTCTGAGGAGCTGAAGCTTCAAATAAATGATATATGTTGTTATCCATAAAATTGTATGGTTCGTTATTGCCTGAAGTGTTGATATTGTTGCTTATTGCTCAACCCCATAATCAGTGGAATGTATGTTCATGCAACATTATTTATTTTTCAGATAGACGGCAATGCTGTGCAATAGTAGTTTTATCAGTGATTTTAGTGATTGTGATAATACTGTTCTTTGTTCTTGGATGATGGCAAGTTACCATCATGTGACTGAGACATTCCATATGCAGTGTAAAGTTGTCTTATTAATTGGAAACTGGTACGCAGACTCTCAGATCCTCATGCATCATGTCCATGATATACATGGAGACAACAACCAAGATCTACCAGTATGTGTTGTCCATGATATCTGCTGGTATTGGGGACAGTGACCAAGATCTACCAGTATGTATTGTACAAGATATCTGCTGGTATTGGGGACAGTGACCAAGATCTACCAGTATGTCTTGTACAAGATATATGCTGGTATTGGGGACAGTGACCAAGATCTACCTGTATGTCTTGTACAAGATATCTGCTGGTATTGGGGACAGTGACCAAGATCTACCAGTATGTCTTGTACAAGATATATGCTGGTATTGGGGACAGTGACCAAGATCTACCTGTATGTCTTGTACAAGATATCTGCTGGTATTGGGGACAGTGACCAAGATCTACATCCATGTCTTGTACAAGATATCTGCTGGTATTGGGGACAGTGACCAAGATCCACATCCATGTCTTGTGCAAGATATCTGCTGGTATTGGGGACAGTGACCAAGATCTACCAGTATGTGTTGTCCATGATATCTGCTGGTATTGGGGACAGTGACCAAGATCTACATCCATGTCTTGTGCAAGATATCTGCTGGTATTGGGGACAGTGACCAAGATCTACATCCATGTCTTGTGCAAGATATCTGCTGGTATTGGGGACAGTGACCAAGATCTACATCCATGTCTTGTGCAAGATATCTGCTGGTATTGGGGACAGTGACCAAGATCTACATCCATGTCTTGTGCAAGATATCTGCTGGTATTGGGGACAGTGACCAAGATCTACATCCATGTCATGTCCATGATATCTGCTGGTATTGAGGACAGTGACCAAGATCTACATCCATGTCTTGTACAAGATATCTGCTGGTATTGGGGACAGTGACCAAGATCTACATCCATGTCTTGTACAAGATATATGCTGGTATTGGGCACAGTGACCAAGATCTACATCCATGTCATGTCCATGATATCTGCTGGTATTGAGGACAGTGACCAAGATCTACATCCATGTCTTGTACAAGATATCTGCTGGTATTGGGGACAGTGACCAAGATCTACATCCATGTCTTGTACAAGATATATGCTGGTATTGGGCACAGTGACCAAGATCTACATACTCTTGCAAGTTCAGTAACCTGTATATACAGACAGTGAATCTACCCGCATACCTTGTCTCTGTTTTTTGGAGACTGTGAACAAGACGTACCTGCATACCTTGTCTGTGGACACAGCAAAGGACATCATTTACAGTGTACCTTGGTTAAAATAGGCCTTGGAAGTAGGGCAAGTTTTCAAGGATTGGTCCTGAGGTTTGTCCAGTTTTTAGACAGTGTATTCTTCAGACTATTTTATGTAAAACATTATAGTTCAGACTGTGCTGTATTTTATACAGTTTTTGTGAAAGCAAGTTAAAAAACAGGCTTGAAACTTGTATAGTGACACATGTTTCGACTGTGATGAAATATCTCTGAACAGAATGAATACAAATTATAAAAATAAGAACTCTCACACAAGTCTTTTTCTTTGACGCTTAGTTTATACTGAAAAATATAAGCCTGCTGCCCCTGCTGTTAGGCGTGACCAGAAGAGAAATGGCAGTGGTTAACTTTAAGGTGTTCAAGAGTTGTCATGTTAGGTACATATCTACTCAGTAAATGTGAGGAATAGCTTACTCACCAATCATTTGTCACTTGGTGCACCAACTAAATGGGGACAGTTTAATGTTTGTCAGAATTTGACTACCACCTCATTTCTAGAATATCTGAAAAGGGAGATCTTCTTTATATCAATTGGTTATCTATCCATGTTTTGACCTTGACCTCTATTGTAAAAGGTGAAGGTCGTCCTGAAGGTCATAGACTGAAAATAGCTTGTTTGTTTACCAGGTCACTTGACGTTCCCTGAAGAAGCATCTTTTCTGTAGGTTTAATGAATATTCAACGTAGACTGTTTAGGAGGTGATGTGGGCAAGCAGATAAACTTGATGGTGGCCTCCATATTAGGTCACTGGCTCTGGGAAGGAAAATTGTAAAGCATACATATGTAAGTTTGTAGCTCAGCTGTTGGGAGTCACCTTATATCCTTCCTCAAAATAACTGGTGTCATTTCTAAACATTCACTCATAAACAACTTGACTGATGTGCAACTGATGACACTGACAGTTTGCCCGCTCCAATGACTTGTTATTGAGATTTTGTCAGAACAAAGTTTCAAAGTATCTGCTATACCAACATTATCCTGCTTATTCATTACTCAATAATCTCCGTTTTGACATAATTTTTGGAAGTGTCATAAATGTTTAGCTAGTAGTTGTGAGAACCTTTAATGTGATGAACTCTGACTTTGATTTGACCTTTACAATTTTAACTTGTTTTTATATTCCTAGCTCTGTACTTGTCTTGAACGTCTTGACTGATAACAGAGGACATGCACATACTTCATGAAGGAAAAGCATGTTGTTTAGGCCATGCAAATTTTATTGTTTTTAAATTTATAACAGATATTTTTAAAAGAATTATTCACGCTATTCTGAAGAACCACCTTGCACAGAAAACTGTTGTTTGTTCCAGGTATGATAGTGCTGTAGATGATGATGCTTCAAGGTCAAGTCGTGCAACAAAGCATGTGTATGTAGGTCATGATGCTTCAAGGTCAAGTCATTCAACAAAGCATGTGTATGTAGGTCATGATGCTTCAAGGTCAAGTCATGCAACAAAGCATGTGTATGTAGGTCATGATGCTTCAAGGTCAAGTCATCATGTGTATGTAGGTCATGATGCTTCAAGGTCAAGTCATTCAACAAAGCATGTGTATGTAGGTCATGATGCTTCAAGGTCAAGTCATGCAACAAAGCATGTGTATGTAGGTCATGATGCTTCAAGGTCAAGTCATGCAAAAAGCATGTGTATGTAGGTCATGATGCTTCAAGGTCAAGTCATGCAACAAAGCATGTGTATGTAGGTTATGATGCTTCATGGTCAAGTCATGCAAAAAGCATGTGTATGTAGGTCATGATGCTTCAAGGTCAAGTCATGCAACAAAGCATGTGTATGTAGGTCATGATGCTTCAAGGTCAAGTCATGCAACAAAGCATGTGTATGTAGGTCATGATGCTTCAAGGTCAAGTCATGCAACAAAGCAAGTGTATGTAGGTCATGACGCTTCAAGGTCAAGTCATACAATAAATCATGTATATGTAGGTCATATGTTACAGCTGAATCCTAGTTGAGTAGTCAGTAATAGCTAAAAAGAACAATCTTATTGAACGTGTTTCATATGGACCGTGTTCAAATTGTCATGTTTTGCAAACCAGCAAAGTAGGTATGAGTAGATTTACAGACAGATGTGTAAACTGACATAGGTGTGTTTTCATCTGAATGTTGACTGAGTCTCCAATGCCAGCCATTATGAAAGTGCTATGATGGACAATTACTTTTCCATATGTGTTGTTTATGTTTTGATATTTTTGTGTCAGGTGACATGTTTCATCACAAGCAATCAGCGTTTCACTTCAGCAAGAGGTGTGAGCAGCACTAAAATACATTATTCCTAAATATTGTCTACAGATGTTGGGTTTTTCATTTACAAGTTACAATTATTGAAATTGATCCATAACATTAGCAAGCGTGACCTAGTTGTGAGCCAAAGGACCTATACAAATAAATAAAATATGTGTTTGAAAGTTTAGAATGATATCTATGTCCACAGTCCAAGCAGTACTTGGAGAATCTTTCTAAAGTTATTGATATGGACACTGATGGTACATTCAAGAGCAAATATGAAAACTATCATATTTTTGGATTACAAACATCATGTGGATAATGATATTTTGTACCAAAGGCAGTTGTTACACCTTATAAGTGATGATCTTCTCCTCCACATTCTGTGTATTCATGTACATTGTATAGAGGCAGTTGCTTGTGTTGGACACACAGAAACCAGTTGCAGTAATCTATGGTAATAACAAACTCACAGGGACCCCATCTTCAAGCTTGTGATAACCACAGTTTGTTACATGCATCTTGAATGAAATGTACGGCAAGTGGCTGAGATCAAACAGTTTGTTCTGTCTGTCATTTCATTACAAGCGTGTTCATAAAAAAATATAGCTCACTGTATAAGTGTTGCTAGAGTATAGATTGTAGAGCTTTGTTTAATAGCTGATAAATAATTTATGGAGTGATTCTCAGGCAAACTGGCAAACAGCTGGGAGAGCCTCTGAGTGTGTTTTACATAGAACTGTTAACGGTATGTTAGTGGGAAGTCATCTTGACATAAAGTGATAAGGGAAGTGCTCAGGGACACAATAACTGAAACTTTTTAAACACTTGAAATTGGGTTCAGGGAGAACTATTTCAAATAGTGTTAACTAACTGGCTAACGTGTTATTATGTACAATTACACTTGTTTATCCTTGGTGAATAAAAATAGCTCAACACATTAATGTTTCACCAGCCACTGTTGGCAACGCTGTGAACTCAAGGATGACAATCTTCACATCAATTTTGACACAAGGCTCACTGTTTCTCAATTTCTGAAAAATGCCAAATGTTACCACAAGGACAAGTTTCACATCCTGATCAACATTTCAGTAGGTTGCATAAAAGTGGCCAGATATACAAATGTATATATGTATTGTGAAGATTATATGTCACATTTCAGAATTTAATTGCTTGTTCTTTCATTACTATCACCTTCTGGGAAGTTGTGTTCTTTATACACAGAATAATTAACGGCAGTAGTGTTGTTGAACCTCCCGACTTGATTGAAGGATGCCATATTGACAATACTGTTTCACTCCTTACTCATCAAGATGATTTGTTTTCCATATTATTTACACCCATATTGCAAGTAAACTGTTTAACGCCTGAATCTCCTGGCGTTGAGTAATACCTGTATATTCACATGAAGTTGCATGTTCAAGTCAGACCAGAGGAACTATACAGTCCATGGCTCTTTCTTCTTTTGCATATTATAATCTTAGATGGTTTTATGACTTGTGTTCCTTTGGAGGTTGAGCTTACATCTCTGTAAATTTGTGAAGCACTTTTAAGACATTCCTCCATCTGGGATTGAATAAAAAAAGGTGAATTTGTATTTGTGCTATTTATGATAACACTATCAAATAAATGTAAATGTTTTTCTTCTGTCTTCTATCTTCTGCTGTGTGTATGGACTTAAAGGTTGGAGCAGATCTTTGATGTTGAGACAGATTTACAAGATATCCCTGAAACTGACCAACTGATCTTAAGTCCTGTTAGCTGTAAAATAACAACACACTATACAGGATTACATCCCAGCAGATCTCTCCGTTCCAGCAACTCCCTTCTCTCCCAGCCAACCACCAACACCACTGTGGGTGACAGAGCCTTCTGAGCTGCAGCCCCACAACTCTGGAACAGTCTCCCAATCACTATCAGAGAAATAAACTTTAAAGACTCTTTAAAAAAAACACCCATCTGTTCACAATATCACAATTCTTCTTCACTGCAGTAGTATTAGAGTGGGGGCTTTGCATCACATGCGGCTTAGAGGCTAATCTTTATGAAAGAAGTTCCCCAGCCCCCTTAAAAAAATAGCTAGAACCATCCTTCGATGTGCCAGTGACCCGTACCCCAATCTTATTACTACTCTTTCTCTCAGTCAGAGTGACCTGCTCAGCTATATATAGCTTGAATGCACAGTCACCTGTACAGCCGGTCTGCTGGAGTTATGTATAGCTGTGTGCTGCCCTGACTATTTAAACAGGCTTATAAAAACTTTAGTGAATCGTACCGACAAGACTCGCTCTAAAATAGCCACCCCCAGCCTAGACCCAAAGTTCCGAGCACTGAGCAATCAGCTGGCTTGCCAGTGTGATGGTTAGAGCTTTGGACTTATAATCCAGCGTTTGGAGTTCGAGTCGGGGTAGCGAACGAGATTGTACTGTGTGTTTTTTAAGAGACCTCTGGTCTCGACATCGTTTAAATCTCATAGGTTACCACCAGATCTGCCGCCTCACTTCGACGCGTTTGTAAATGTTGTTTTTGAGTTGCAATGCACACAGTCTGCTGTCGACGCCAGGCTCGTTGAAACCGCGCGAGGAGGAGGACTTACCTGGGAAATCTGGGTCATTCCTCCTCCAAGATCGGAGAACGCGATGGTGGCTTGTGGAGTCACGTTTGTCATGGTTTATATATATTAGAGAAGAAATTTTAATTGGTTTTCGGATAATTTTTCGGCCGTGCATTTTGAACCCATCAGATGTATGTTATCGTGTAGGAAAATGTTTGTGAACGATATCGTGTTTTCAAAGGTGGCGTTGACTCCTTGCCCTAGGTTGTGGCATCCACGCCCACCCGTACGTAAACGGAGCAAACATGGTATTGGTGTTGTTGGGTCCACTGGAGTTTGATACCTTTGACGATTTTGACGTTACCAACCCGTGGTTCACCGAGGTAGACTCGGATGAACAGCGTGGATTGCGCCTGCAGATTTTGCAAGATGTCGACCACGCTGTCAAATTCCGACACTAACTGCAACGTTGCGTTTGACGTCCCGGGTTTACTCGATAAGATGTGAGCTATAGGTTGCGACAGCGTGCTGACGACGACACTGTGTCTTTGCGTCGGGACTGTAAGCGTTCCGTTGTTCACGACTTTCATGAGGTGGTGGTCTTTGTTTTCCGTGAACAGGTGGGGAGAGTCTAGAGCGATGTTGAGATTCCAGTCGATTCGAGAGGGTACGAACACCCATCGGTTGTTGTCGGTAAAGACGGGCGTGTACGGCGTGTTTCGAACGACGACCGTCTTCTCAATGTCGTCCAGGTTGAACAGTTTGCCGCCGAAGGCTGGAACCATCACCCATGTGTTATTGGCGTTGTAAACGAGATTGTACTGTGTGTTTTTTAAGAGACCTCTGGTCTCGACATCGTCTAAATCTCCTAGGTTACCACCAGATCTGCTGCTCACTTCGACGCATTTGTAAATGTTGTTTTTGAGTTGCAAGGCGCACAGTCTGCCGTCGACGCCGGGCTCGTCGAAACCGCGCATGTCCCCGAGGTCGGAGATCGCTAGGTTGGCGCATTTTCTCGGTCACATTCCCAGACCCGAAGCTTCAGTCATTGTTGTTTGACGTGCAGCGTTGCGCTGAGGTATCCTATATGAACGGGTTCATATTTTATATCTAAAACTGATAGTTTCAATTCCGTGATGTTGCCTCGGGTTAATTTCTTGTACTGCAAGGTCCAAAACGATTCGGTTCTGCCGTCGTCGTACTTTTCCGTTTTCGCCGGCATGGCTCTCAGCAGCGTGGAAGGTCGTTCACCTTGAACATTGTCCGTTGTGCTCAGCTGATCAAGGTGAATGCACTGTTCGCGGTAGGGGACGAGGCTCGGCAATTTCGAGCCCGTGACGGTGTCTCGAGGTACTATCTCATAAGTCGTCAACCCGAGTGTTCTCGCCAAGGGTCGGCCCAGTTTGATGGGTTGGTCTCCATTCGTCAACTTAAGCATGCCATCCGACTCGTTGAGTTCAAGACTGGCTCCGACGGGTTTAAAAATTGTGTCGTCCAGCATACACACGTTATAATAACCTTCGGTCAACAGGTGGCGGCTATTATCGATAAACAGCTTTTTGTTGCTTCTCTTAACGCGGATATTCGACCATCGAGGGTAGTAGGTGAGATCGCAGAGCGCTACTTCGAGTTCCCCCAACGTGTTATCGATCGCTTGCAGCAGCGGAATGGGTGCGCCGTTCGTAATTCCCGGGAGTGTGGCGTACATATTGAAAAAATATATATACGTAATTATAATAATTCAATATGGCTACATCCAAGTACCAGCCTGGAGTGATTTATCCTAAAAGCAATCTCGTCACCGCTACCGATCTCCAGGACATCGTAATAATCATCGACGGTCGTTTTTAGCAGATCATCGCCTATGTTTCCTTGCGCGAACAAGGTCTCTTCATCGTCGAGCAACTGGGTTCTATCGTCAGCCATGATTATTTATTGAACATGTATTATATATTGTTAATATAAAAAAATGGCTTGCAATACGGACGAAAACTTCGGTCCTTACCGAAAATTGAGAGAACCCTTGGCGGTCAAAGCCCTGCGTCAATCCATGACGATCACCAACAATCCGAGCATGATTGACGAAAAACAAACGCAGTTGGTGCGCTTTCCCAACCTCGACGAGGACGACGTCATCGTTCCGGGGACAGCTCGCCTGTCCTTCCAGATCAGTTTGGAATCCGCCGATGATAAGCAAGAAGTCGTGGGGAACCTGGATCGCGTCATCGTGAAGAAAACGACCATCTAAATCAGCGGAAACGAAGTTTTGAGCATCTACGACAGCGACGTGTTCTTCAGCTACACGGACCTCTGGAGAACCGCGAGCGAAGGGGAAAACATGAAGTACCAGGGGATTTGTCCGGCCGAGTGTCCATCCGAGTGTCCAAGCCGAAATCGCAGCGATGGCGAAAAAACACGTGGCCATCGCCGAGGCGTTCAGGAACCGATATATACTGTAAGCCAGTCAAAAGGCAATTGGTGTTTGTTGTCCTGAAACTCACAAAAG